ATGTAAAACTCTATATAAATCTATTTTATTTAATATATGATTTTTATTGTCAGTCACTCATCAGTATGGTCATTTGTCATGGTCATGAATACTAAAGACTTTTTAAAATAAAGGCTATGCGTGTAATGTAAACACAATGCTGCATATTGCTCCACTTGTCTCACTGCTTTTTATGTTTGGCAGCTGCTGGGGTTTTTTCTGAACATTTAATGAGCCAGGGCTGTCAGCTAGACCTATATCTTACAAGCTGATTGCTACCTCTGAATCTGCCAAATTTTATAACCATTCAATTCAACTTCCTTTGATGTCAAAAAATTGTATTCAGTGAGATCACAATGTCTGCACACTTTGAACTCAAACTTTGAGGCACAGACCCATCTCCACCAGAACTCTGCTCTGCATGAGCAAGCCCCTTTTGTACACCTAAAATGGTTTTCAGACATACACTTGCTCAATTTGCACATGCAAATGGCATTTGTTCGTGCAAATCAGATATTTTGGGGATACCTAAACAGACACTATGCCTAAAGATGGGCATCCAAAATTAGAAACTGAATTTAGGCCACTTTGGCCCATTATGATAAAGTAAAAGGTCTCATTTAAACCATCAAATGAAATGCAAGTCAGGTAAAGGCATCCATCCTGCTGACTCTTCCGCTTGGACCTGCTTCAAGTGTCAGTGATCACTATGTACTTTTGTACATGTGCTGTATGTTTGTTTTATTGATTAATTGACTTATAAAACACTCAGCTCTGGATGCACTATCTGGAATGCTGTATAATTTTCAAACAAAAACTAAGAGGGAAAAAAAAGCTGGGCCCTGTGCCAAGAATAAATATCCTTCAAATAATACTAGACAAAAGAAAACCACCAGGGCTTTCATGCAGAGAGAATTTTTCTTTATGATGTGATATGATCTTTTTTCCCCTTTAATTTGAATGAAGTGTGGTCGGGAGGAGCAAGTACGGGGTTAGGTGAAAGGAGGTCCTCAGTTCTAATCCTGGCTCTATGATCAACTCTGTGTGTGTGTCTTTGGGCAAGTCACTTTAGTGCTCCCCATTTGTAAAATAAGGTGCTTAAAAATTCTTACCCACCTATTTCATTTGGATGTCATGAGGCTTACTTAGTTAATTTCACTATAATGCCTTGCAAAACTAACAAAAGAGAATATTCACAAAACTTCACATTAACAGCAGTGGCATAGCTAAGAGTGGAAATTTGGGTGAACCCCCACTTTCGGGTGGACAGGTAATGACAGACTATGCTAGCTCAGCTTCTCCCCCGACGCCACATTCTCTTCCTAGCCCTGGTGCCCCCAGACACAGGGCTTCACCTGCCGAGCTGGGCACGCGCATGGGGCAGCTCAGAAAATGGCAAGGCAGAGCTGCCAGATCGTAGCTTTCTGAAGGGTGGGCGCATAGCTCCATCCTGGATTTCAGGTGCCCAAGTGACGCTCCAGGCTGCTGTGGCAGCACTGCACACCTGCTCAGATTTGGGTGGGCCTGGAATCAGGATGCTAAGTGGGTATGCTCCTGATTGACAGTTTTTAACACATAAAATTCAAAATATAATGTGTAGAACAAAAGCACCCTAAAAGATCTTGAAACAAGCCTTGAAGACAGAGGGATTCTGGCTACAATGCTGAGGGAAGGAGTTCCATTGCAAAGGTTGCTGAAGTCAGGAGGAGAGTTCCCTCCCACCAGATTTAAATGTAGCCTCAGGTGAGGAAAAGAGCAATGAAATGCCATTTGCCTTCAGTTACCTTAGAAGGTCAGTCAAGGGGAAAATATAGTTATTGAAGTATCTCAGGCCTAGATTACTAAGGGCTTTATATACAAAACAAACATTAAGCTGATGTAAAGGCAAAATCAAGTATTTCACATACTTCCCTCCCCTTTCTCCCCCGTCCCCCAGATGTTGTAATTGTCTGAAGGTAGCAGTCAAATTTATTTGAACTGTGTCCCCTCAACCTTGGAGTGTTTTTCTTAATAATGGTACTCCATCAAAAATGAACAGATTGCCAAACCCAGATCCGGACTTTGAAACTATGATCAGTCATAGACTCCTTATTTGACCTTGGGCAAGTCACATTTGATCTCTCTGTACCTCAATTCTCCATCTGTAAAAAATTTCTCTGACTTTATTTTTGTCTATTTAGTTATAAGTTCTTCAGGGCCTGGACTATCTATTCTATGTGTATGTACAGTGCTGAGCGCAGGGCTGAGCATCTAATCTCTTTTGGAACCTTTAAGTACCATTATAATAAACATCTATAATAAATCTGTGTCACCTCCAAAACCATTAAGGTCTTGCTAATGGTTGACTGGCATGTGGCATGTTTTTCTTCTGTTTAATTACTATTGTTTTATTGACTGCCAATGCTGTGCTTAGAATAAGAAAGAGACCCTGGTCCAAAGAATTTACAATCTAGTGGTGAATATTCATAGGGTGACAGTAGAAATACAGAGACTTGATGTGTACCAGCAAACTGGTTTTGACCCAGAGCCATCTTGGTCTGATCTCTCCTCCCTCCTGTTCCTCTTATATCCAACTTCCTTAAAGTTCAATTATCCATGTCTCACTTGTGCTTAGCTAAATTATCCTTTTCTTTGCCTGGAATTTCACTGCCTTTCCTACCATTATTCTTTGTCTGATGTAACTCATTCATAGCTTTATTTCAGAAAGCCAGAAGCAGCAGTTCAGGGACTGAATACTGAATGGTCTGATTATTTTTTCATCCAAACCACCACATACACCACCTGGAAAGGCCCAAGGTTTTTCCTTTGCTCAATGGAATCATTTGCTGTGCCAAGCAACATATTTACATGGAGGGATAAATTCATCTACTTTTACTCTGGTGTCTTATTTAATAGGAGGAGAAGCCTGGAAGCCCCTGCTCATTGCTAACTCAAAGTAGATATGCCTGAATAGGAATCCAAGGTCTCATCTCCTCTAGAGGCACAGGCAATGTACATTATTAGGTGCTGTGCCCTTCCCTCCCTCCCTCCCTCCTCTCAAAGCATAGAAAGGAGACACTACTCCACCAAGTAAAGAACATGAGAGAAAACAGTGTTTGGAGAAGAATGCAAATGTTTGTATCAGTTGGACCCTTCTGGTTACAATATAGTGATATTGCTGAGTTTTCAGTGCAACACTTCCTTCCCCTCCTCTTTTGACCAGTAGTGGTAAAAACAGATATCTATTAGCATGAAAAATACAAGTGCATTTGTTCCTATGTGGGAACAAAAATGTAACCCACTGGCAAGGCATCTCGTATTACTACAGTGATGTACGTTTTTATTATTCAATGAGAGCTGTTGATGTACTTAATTCTTTACAAGACAGAGGATGATCAGATTCCCTGCCCAAGAAGCTTATATAGCAAGTTGGATAGATGCACACCACAAAACACAAATTAACACATGCTTCTGATACAATTGTCGGTCCACAGTTGTAAACTGTGTTGGGACATGCAGAAACATTTGTCAGAAACAGAGCTGCGGTGTGGACAGTCTAACCTGTTGCAGCAGGAAAAGCTATAGCACAGGGGTGACCAACCTGTGGCTCCGGAATCACATGCGGCTCTTCAGAGGTTAATATACAGCTCCTTATATAGGCATCGACTCCAGGGCTGGAACTACAGGTGCCAACTTTCCAATGTGCCAGGGGGTGCTCACTGCTCAACCCCTGGCTCTGCCACAGGCCCTGCCCCCACTCTACCCCTTCCCGCCCCCTCCCCTGAGCCTTCCATGCCCTCACTCCTCCCCCTCCCCAAGCCTCCTGCACACCACGAAACAGCTGATCAGGAGGTGCGGGGAGGCAGGGGAAGGTGCTGATCTGCGGGGCTGCCGGTGGGTGGGAGGCGCTGGGAGCGGGGCATGGGGGGGGGGGGAAGCTGACGTATTACTGTGGCTCTTTGGCAATGTACATTGATAAATTCTGGCTCCTTCTCAGACTCAGATTGGCCATCCACCCCTGCAATAGAACCAGGGGATGGTCTTAGAGTTTAGGCATTGCAGTAGTTAAATTCCTTGCTCTGCCACAGCCATCCTGTATGAATTTGGGCAAGTCACTTAACCTAAGATCCCCCTCTGAAAATGGGATAATACTTCACTTCACCAGCATGCTATGAGGAGAAATTCAATAATACTATTGAGACAATCAGAAACTATGTGATGGGGGTCATCACACGTACGTGGATACAGCAGGCACTGTCTCTTAATGGTTGTACAGTGCCTAGTACAACAGGGCCCACATCACAGTTAGGATCCTCTAGGCACTACTGGAATACAGATAGTAATAGATATGGATTGAGGCATTGGCCCGGGACTTAGGAGATCTAGTTTCTTCCTCTGCCACAGCCATTCTGGGTGACCTTGAGCAAACTGCTTAATCAATCTGTGCCTCCCTTCGCCATCAGTAAAATGGGGATGGTAATACTTCCCTCTCACACAGGTGTGTCCTGAGGATCCATTCATTAGTGCTTGAGGCACTGATACTGCAGGGATGGGGACCCTGTTAGTAGCTGGATTTTGCAGGCAAGCCCTGTTGCTGTAACAATTCCTTGCTACCCTATGAAGTTACTTGTCACAGGAGAAAGAGGCTTTTAAAAAAGGCTAGTTGAAGGTTAAGCCAGAATGAAGGAGAGACCTGCAGGGGGAGGGGGAAGGAAGGGCGGGTTTGGCGTTGGGAGTCATACAAACTGGTTTTGTGGATGCCCTAAGAGGTGTGAGGTAGGGACTGGGTTTATAAAGACTCATTCATGCAGCTGAGGGGCACAGAGATTAGAGGTCCGCTTTGCAGCTGAAAACTTTTGGCTTGAGAGAGCCACACTTCTGCAGCCCTACGGGCGGCGACCAAACCCCTTCCTGAAAGTGACTCAAGGAGCGGCCGGCCCATTTGGGGCCGGGACGTGGGGGGAGGCTGCAGCCGTGCGCCTGTGTCCTTGAAGGGGATTGAGTGAGGCTGGGGGGCGGGCAGCGCTCGGGTTTCCAATCACAATAGCGTAACCGGAGGAGACGACGCCGAGCAGCTGGGCAGGATCCGCCTCTTTCTTCCCTTGCGGCCGGGGCTGACATTGTCTTAGCTCCGCACGACACAGGCTGCTGCTGCGCCCGGCTCCTTCCTTCCTCCTGCGCCATCCGTCCCAGCCCGGCTGAGCCATCCCCACAGGTGGGTATCGCGCTGTACGGCTGCGCTGGCCCCTGCTCATGGGGGGGAGGGGCTTTAATGGAAAGGACGAACCCCCCCTTTCTCTTTCATAGGGCCTGCCTGGTACGTGGGCCTCTAGGCGGGGTACAGCCCCCCCACCCCCGCGCTTTTGAGAGTCAGGCTCTCCTCTACCTTGTGCATTGCTGCACTGTCCCTCCCCTGCCCCTTTGTAGCCGCAGGGCCGCTTGATGGGATGGTAGCAGGATGGGATCCCACTTTGGGGAGGAGGGGGGATCGCCTCTCCTTTGCAGTGCAGCGCTGCTGCTATTTAAAGAGCAATGGGGGGGGGGCAGGAAACAGACCCCCCCCCATTGCAGAAGGCCTTAACATTGAGCCCTTCGGGAAGGGCGCAGCTTCGTTGTCAAAGCCTTCCCTCCCCCCCGCTCCCTGCGAGGATGGATCATGGACGTGACGGGTCGCTTGTCTCATCGCATTGCAGTGTCTCCATCCCAGGGATGGGGGGAAGGGCATGGAAGAGAAAATACCCCCCGGCGCCCCTTTCTTCTGGCCTAGAGGCCGGCGAAGTGAGCCCCGCGTGAAGGGCCCCCCACCGCCTTAATCTCCCCTGGCTGCGGGCGGGGTGTCTCTCCTTTAGACCCCATGCACCCGGCTAACACGCAGGCTCTCCCCGCACCTGCGGGCGGGGGAGGATGGCTGTGCCGAGGGCGCTCGGCCCCGTTGCACGTGCAGCGGCCGGGCTGACTTGAGGACCAGCCGCGTGCCCTTGAGCCGCCCGAGCTGCTGCTCTCTCACACACACACACACACACCCCACGCCCCCCTGGCGGGCGCGCGCCGGGGATTCGGGGAGGCAGGGCCCTGTGCACGCGCACGGCGGGGTGGGGGAGGGAGGAATGAGAGATGGGCAGGCGTTTGCACGCGCACGGCGGGGTGGGGGAGGGAGGAATGAGAGATGGGCAGGCGTTTGCGCGCGCACGGCGCGGATCCGCTCCTGCCGCTGCCTCCTCCTGGTGCGTGGCGGGGCCCGCGCGGCGCTGCAGGCGGGCAGGGCTGAGACGTGGCCGGGCGAGTTCTCGCTGCCCTGGAGGCGGCAGGGGCGGCAGCAGCCCGGGCCCGCCACACCAAAGAGGAGCCCCAAGACGTGATCCCGTAGCCGCAGCTTTGGCTGAGCACGCCACCTCCAGGGGGTCTGGGGGGAGCGAGAGCCGGGCTCCCTGCGAGGCGCAGAGCAAACCGCATCCTGCCCTGACTCACGCGTGACTCAGGCGAAGAGCAGCCACCTCCACCCTTCCTGACCTGACTGTCCCAGCCGCTGAAACGCCTGTGCCCCCCGCTGACTGTCTGCTCTGCTGCCACCTCGTCTCCCCCCGCCAGTGTCTAATTCAATATCATTTACATGGCACATTTGGGGCATGCAGGTCCTTTCTGCGCCGAAGAGCTTGCAGGTTTTCTGCTGTTAGGAAAGAAAAAACGAACAAAAACACACCACGACATCCTTTTGGTAAAGTTAGAAAAGAGCAAAATTAAGATTGCCTGCGCAACTTCAATCCAGCCCCCCTCCCTATGCCTTCTGAGACAGCCTTTAATGACATGATCACATACTATTTTCCCCCAGGACCCCTGCCTCATTCAGGGACTGGGTAGCTGGCCCCCAGGCCTTATTTACTGCCTTCCATCCAAATCCTGCACTGAACACAACATTATTAATTTCCTGCTGGGTGTTTCTGTGGTGCTTGGACCTTAGAATCAGAGTGCTTTACAAATACTCATGACTTTATCTTCACAACAGCCTTGTAAGAGTTGGTGGTGTTATTCCCCCCATTTTACAGCTGGGGAACTGAGGCACAGACAGGTTAAGACCAACATTGTCAAAAATGCTCACTACTTTTGGGTATCCATTTTGAGATAAATAGGGCCTGATTTTTTTTTTCCAGTATATTTGGCATTTTTATTGCAGTTGATATGTTCAAAAAAAGCTCCAGTCAAGTGTACTTGCAGTTGTGAGTGTTCAGCGCTTTCTGCAAATTTGGGACAACATGTCTTATGTTAGGCATGCAGAAAATGAAGGACATGCATATAGTGACCACCTGTGCGAATGTTAGTTTAAGCAACTTGCCCAGCATCACACAGAAGCTCTGTGGCAGAGGCAGGGATAGAATTTAGTTCTCCAGGGCAGCCTTCCGATGCCTTAACCAGGAAACCATCCTTTCTCTTCCAGTAAACCTCTGACTCATTCAGTACACGCCTTTCAATTTCTGCAACATATGAAGGAGAATGAAACAACACTATTTCTGCAGAATGAATATTTTTGTCTGGTTTTATTTCCCCCCTCTGATTCCCAGTATGCCTTAGGAAATACTTCCTTGAACATTGTATGTTGAGAATTCTACAGATGGAGAAATGATGCAGGAGTTCTTGCCTCTAGTGTATTAGCTGATTTTAAGATTGTTTTGCCCTTGACTTGTATGTGGATCAAGAGAAATACATAAGCATTAGGACAAATTTTCCAAAGCAGTTGCTAATTTTTGGGTCCCAAAATCTTTTGGGCAATCACAAATTTTGACTTGCCTCCATTGACTGGCACAGATTGATACACACAGATCACCTAGATATCTAGTTGCTCAACAGCAATTACAAATTCTGGCTCCAATCCCCTGTTGTCATCACTGGAGCTTCATGCATGGCCAGGAGTCAACCCTCATGGAGCAGCTTGTAGGACAGGGTCACTGTTTGCAAATATATATATTGGAGTGTGTGTATGTGATTCCAAAACATAGGTACCGAATATGGAGACTGTCTTTAAATATTTGCCATGGGAAGGGAAGGGAAGGGGGAAAATCAGGAAGAGACAAGGCTTAGTGGTGGTAACTTACAAGTTGATCAAAGGGCATCTCTGACACTAAATAAAAATGAATGCCAGGTTAGCTCAGTTCTAGCACAGTTTATTATACATAAATGGATTGGAATATTAACATTTCTACATAAAGCCGCAAAGGCAAAAAAGAATCACCATGTATTTGGAATGAAGGGAGCCATTTAAGTAAGTGAACACTGTATTTATTCAGTGCTTTCCATCCAGAAGGTTTCAAAGTATTTACAAACTTATAAGTATTTCTTAACCCACCACTGAAATGCAACTATCACAAAGCAGCTATCTTAACACCTCACAGCAACAGTGCATATAGAGAGGAAAGAGTACATTGTATCCTAATGAAATTGAAGTGACAATTTTAGGTGGGTAGAGTGTAATTATTGAAATGGAATTGGACAATGCCAACAGTGCTCATGTGTCTGCCTAGTGGATTATATAAACAACTGTTTTCAGTAACTTGGAAATGTATATCTATATATGGCAATTTTATTTGTAAATTTCAGTGTTGGAGGCTAAAGTAGCTATCTTTCTTTTTTTAATATGAAGAACGTGGGAAATGTGATTGGGTTTAATCTATAGAGTTTTGTATGTGTCTCTCTTTTCTTGCAGAATATAATGGCTACTTTACAAGAGAAACTGATTACACCAATTGCAGCAGAATCCACCACCCCTAACAATAAGATCACCGTAGTGGGGGTTGGCCAAGTTGGAATGGCCTGTGCCATCAGCATTCTTGGAAAGGTATAGTTCAAGAACAATATGGAGCTAAAGTAATCAAAATTTTATAGTGCTACAAAATCTGATTGACTTCTTTGTGTGAAAATGGAGATAAATATGACAGATTAATGTAAGAATAGTCTGATTAATTCTATACATTCCTCCTAAATGAACCCCTCTGCTCCACGTGAGACTTGTCTTCTCATTGTGTTTGTTCCCAGTTTCTCTCCTCTCTGACTCTCTTATAGTTGTCTCATGTTCAGGAAAAGGTCTGATTGTCCTTTTCCAAAGTTGCAGACCGCCAGGTTGGCTTTGTGTACAATGGGTCTGCAACCTGTTGCCAAACTTTTTTTGCTGTTGATTCTTCCAACGTTCCAGGCCTTTGGGAAATGAGTCCAGAGTCCGCTACTTGATAGCAGGGCCGTCAGAGGGGGGGAAAGAACTTAAATGGAGACAGACCAGAGATCGTTGTGAAATGTGCAGTAGACACCAAAACTATACACACTCAACTTACTACCCTCTTCATTCATCCAGGGCCTGATTCAAGGCCCAAATGAAAAGACTCCCATTGACTTCACTAGGCTTTGGATTAAGCCCTTATTGCCTAGTTGTCCAACTTTCACTGTAGAATTTTAAAGTAGCTAAAATTGTGTGCCAAATTCTCAGATCATGATTCTGGTTTAATGTTGCCCACATTCAGGCAGATCTCCCATTGCCTCTTTAAGTACTGACTAAAACCTCAGTAAGGATCTCAGAATTTGACCTTTTGTTTTTAGAGGGCAAAAGTTTGCAAGTAGCTGTTTCCTTTTTTTCTTACTTTATTTAAGAAGAATAAGAAAAATAAATTGGGAACTAAGGGCCAGATTTTTAAAGCTATTTAGGCACCTAAAGATGCAGGTAGGCACTTGGTGGGATTTTCCAAAATATTGATTTCAAGGTGAGTTAGGTACCTATATTACTTTGAAAATCTCACTAGATGCCTATCTGCAACTTAAAGCACCTAGATCTTTAGATTAATTTGGCTCTAAAGTCCCTTGTAGGAAAAAATTTAAATGTGCTTAAGTCCCGTTGGAAGTCAGGGATAGATTTAAGCATATGCTGAAGTCATTTTCTGAATCGGAGTCTTACTTATTGAGGGTCAGATTTTGAAAAGTACATAGGTGCTTAAAGATGAAGACAGGTGCTTAGGCACTTTTGAAAATCCCTCTAAATACCTTTAAATATCTGACCCTAAGAACCTGATCCTGCAAATTACTCTCTCCAGGCCATTTCTACATGGAATAGCTTACAGGATTAGCGCCCAAAGCCATGCCCATACCACTAAACCATTAGAATGTATTTAAGGGACACAAAGTTAATTTGAGAAGTTAATAATTAACAGTGACCTAGCCATAGGCCAATGCACCAAAAATACAATATACTACTGTAAAACTTAAAACAAAATCCAGAATTTTAAATATCAGAAATAACCATAAATACAAATTAAAAAGAACATAAGCCAATTAGAGCATACATCACCATGTCAATTTCCTTTACCTTATTTTAGCAGCTGAACACAGAAATAGGGTAATCACTTGGATCACAGATACATTGCCAGTTCCTAATAAATACTTTGTTTTCTGAGAGGTTGTAGAAAAAGGCATCTGGAACAAAAACATGGGAAGACATTTTGACCTCAAGGGCAATACAAATTACAATATAATAAATAATGGGGTAAGTCTTCTACCTGTCCAGAGCCGCATGGACAAAGGTGGGTACCTTTCTCCGTGCCAGTATATTTGTCTTCTAAATAAGCTGTCTGCATAAATTGAAAGTAGAGAGCTCTAAAAGCCCTCCTTAATTTGTTAATGTACAAATTGTCTAAATATCTGGAATACCCATGAATCCTTTTAACAAGGGGAAACCAAGGTGACATCTTTGTAATGGAAACAACTACCGTGCTTATTAATATCCTCTAATCTCAACTTGATTAGAGATTTCACATTTTTAAATTTAAATCTAATCATTTCCAATTCTGAGAAGACTTTAACCAAGGAAATTTACCTGAACAGGCCCTACCGATCTGTTCCTCTAAGTATAGCCTTGGCCACTGCTGTGGGTGCATACTATGAGAGCGAAGCAAAAAATTAGTATTACGGTATTGCACTTTGGACAGAATAGAAATCGTGCCTGTCTCAGCTCTAAGAAGAGCAGCTAGGAGATTATTTGGGAGACGAAGAAGCTTCCTAAGAAATTTGTTTTGGATCACTTCTAGTCCTGTGGGATCATTCCATCCCCATATTTCTGCACCATACAAAATTTCAGTGCACACCTGGCCTCAAACAGTCTAAAGGCTGGTGCAATTAAGTTGCACCCATAAGTCCCAATGTAATGTAACACAGCTTGCATTGAATTTGAGGCCTTCTCTTTTGTTACCTGAATATGTTTATCCCATACTCCATTTTCTGAGGACCAGATACCCAGATAGGCAAAAGAACTAATTTGTTGAATATATTGCCCATCAATCTTCCATTTATGCAACCTCCACCTTCAACTAAAATCATTTACTTTAGTTTTGGAGTAATTTAGCAAAAGGCCCTCTGTTGACAGTATAAACCAAATGCATTTAATATACACTTTAGTTCCACTGCTGTTTGTGATAATGGACCCATATTATCTGCATATAATAAGACGAACACTGGGTAATCCATGATTTTAGGGGGGAAATACTGATCCACTTTCTATTAACTTGACTTTAAAAAAAAAAATCTTAAGAAAATTCACTGTTTCTGGTACTGTGCTTTTAAAATAGTATGTCATCAGGGTATTTTTTTAAAATGCCTTTAAAACCGTTCAAAGGTTTTTCTCCTCCCTTGTGGATGTTTAGAAGAGACTGCTCAGCAAGGGAGAAACTGATGAACCATGCAAGGAAAACAGTGATATTAACCACCCACAGATGTCATAAATAAAAAGTTTTAGTTATTTTTCATGTTACAAATAGCTATAGAAAATCAGTTCAATCATGTAGAAGTATGAAATGTCATGCCAAATCATTAATTCATCATGAAATATCCTTAGGATGTGTTTTTTAAAAAAACACATTGTGCTTGCCTTTCTCCATCTCAACTCAGCATCATTCTTGCTGGAAAAGCAATGAGATCTGTAAAACTGGCAGAGTGGGAACCCAGTGGAAGTGACTGTTAACCTCTTTATTGAAGGATGCATACTGGTTTATAGTCCTGAGAAGAGCTCTTTACAGCGTCAAATTCTGCCCTGGGAATCACAGGCATCCACCTCCCATTGAAGTCAATGTGAGTTGCATGTGCATAACTAGTGGTAGAAATTGGCCCTTACAAATTTTAAGCCAGTTTATAGCTGGATGGATTTAGTCCCTTTCACCTGGCTTCTACTCTGTCAGTGGCACAAATGGCATCACTTTTCATCAAGCTGGCTGCCTCCTGCATTTCGGCTCAGAATTGGCATCTCTTCCTTACAAATTCCAGTTGGAATTTAAAAACATGTTTGTAACAAACTGTTCGTGGGCGTTGAGCCATCTTGATAATTGTGCCTTGCTTTATGAACTCTCAGACTGTTGGACTCCGCAAAATGGATGGTGCCTTCAGTTAAGCCGTAGCCTAAATTTTACACTTACCCAATATTTCCAATATTATCTTAAAATTTAGCACATCAAATTCACCACCGTCCATGTGACATTATTGAAGTTATAGTTCAGAGTTCATTTTTTCTGGTATAGCATCTCAATTAATATACACGTGAATGGTGTTAATTTTATTCTTGAAGGGGGTTGTGTTTTTCACGTCTGCTTCTAGTTAGCAATGAGAAGTCATTGAGACCTGTGTGCTCTTTCAGAAGAACTTGAAATACTTTTTCCACAGCTTTAAAGCTGAACTATATCTTTTTGTAAAAGCATTTAAGCTGTATCTGTGTCTTATCTTGTATGCTTTATTCATGTGAGTGGTACTATTGAGCCAAATTCCTCTCTAGAATACACCAGTATCAATCCAGCAAAGCGGTTGGAGCTATTCCAGATATACTCTGGTTTCATGAGAGCAGAATTTGGCTCCGAACTTCATTGGGTCTCCTTAGATAAATAAGGGTCACAAGATCAGGTATCTGAGCCCTGGTCTACACTGGTGGGGGTGGGGGGGAGGATCGATTTAAGTTATGGAACTTTAGCTATGTGAATAACGTAGCTGAAGTCGACGTACTTAGATCTACTCACCGCGGTGAGTCGACTGCTGATGCTCCCCCATCGACTCTGCCTGCACCTCTCAGCCTGGTGGAGTACAAGAGTCCGGGAGAGCACTCGGGGGTCGATTTATCGCGTCTACGTCTAGACTAGACGCGATAAATCGACCCCTGCTGGATCGATCGCTGCCTGCCGATCCAGTGGGTAGTATAGACATACCCTAAATGTCCTAGATCTTTAAAAGAACATAGATGTAGATTTTATAGGCCTAATTCTGATTTCACTCACTTTTATCAGTTGTACACCTGTTTAATCAACTCACTTCACTGGAGTTATTCTTGATTTACATTCATATAACTGAGATCAGAGTTTGGCCCTGCAAATGATTTTTAAAATAAAGCAAGACTCGAGTACAAGCCCTTGGAATTTTTCTGCAATAGTTGGTGGTATTGGTTGTGGAAAGAAGTTGCTCTGAGTGCAATAAAATAAATTGATTTGTAACTAACATGGTTTTAAAATACGTACTTTTAAATTTAAATACACATATTCTGTGTTACTGATTTGAGATGCCTTTTAGAAATATAGATAGCGTCGCGTTATGTTTGTTTCGAGTCTTTCTATTTTCAAAGCACTTTGCAAACACTAACCAGTCAAGCCTCATCATGATACAGGAACCTATTATCAATTTTACAGACGAGCAGACAAGACAGAGATGCATGCTTGAGGGTAAAGCTTTCAGAAGCACCTAAGTGACTTAAATGCCCATTTTCAAATGGACTTAGGCACAGAGGGCAGTAGTAGAGAGAAGTCCTGAACAGAGTTTCAATGTACTTTTATTGGCATGACAAGCTATACAAGTGATGCCAACGTTTCAACAACAACAAAACAGCAACAGAAAACCCAAACCACCACTGCCACAACCAAGTGTATCTGCCAGAGGGAGATTAAATCCTAAAAGCATCTCATATTTTAGTCATTGAAGTAGAAAGTGTCTATCATCCCTCCAAAATCTCAGAAAGCTTGGGGAGTGGGGGAACTTTGAGACTATCTCCCAATCTCCCCCTGCTGGACAAAAACCAAATGTGGCTGAACTTAAGTTTAACAAAGTGACACTGTTTTAGAAGTCCAGGTGGGGAGAATTAGGAACAGTTCTGATTTAGAGCTGGTCAAAATATGGTGAATATTTTTTGTGAAAACTTTGACCATGTCCAATTTTAATTAAAACTTTGATTAAGCTGGTTGAAGCAGTATTGTGTCACTGAATGTTAATTTGAGGTAACTGATAGCAATGTGAGTTTTCCATCAAAAATCTGGGGCAAATACTGTCTTGCTTGGATATAGAGCAGAATGTAATTCTTACAACTAGTACAGAGACTTCAGCATATTTTTCTAAGTAAATAACTAAGGCCATGTCTACACTCCCACTTACGTCGGCAAAACTTGTGTCACTCGGGTGTGTGAAAAAAACACACCCTTGAGCAACATAAATTTTGCCGAAATAAGTGGGAGTGTGCACGGTGCTATGTCAGCAGGAGAACTTCTCACTGATATAGCTACTGCTCCTCATCGGGGGTGGTTTAATTATGTCGATGGGAGAACTCTCTCCGGTTGGCATAGAGCAGCCACACGAGAAAGCTTACAGTGGCGCAGCTGCATCAGTACAGCTCTGCCACTATAAGGACTCTAGTGTAGACATAGCCTAAAATCTTGTAGTGCCTTAATGACAAAGGGGAAGCTCCAGAGTAAGGGTTTGTGGCTTTTCCCTCTGAACAGGGAAGTGGGAAATGTAACCTGAATCGTAAACTTTTACTGTGCTTTAATAAGGGTTTATAATACTTTTGCTACTGGAGTGTGTTTTTATGTGTCTCCACTGTCACCATCTGAACTGTCCCATGCTCCCATTTTTGGTCTAGTGATTCAGAAGAGATGCTTTACCAGAGTGTGACATTAATATACTCTATAAAGAGCTCCATATAAAAAGTAATGATGTAGTTTAACTCAACAAAGGAAGCTTTGAAAAATAGTAAAATAATAATACACAGTGAGCCCTTTGTGTGATGTCCATATTGTATTCCCTCCACTCCCCACACAGGGTCTTTGTGATGAGCTTGCTCTGGTTGATGTTTTGGAAGACAAACTAAAAGGAGAAATGATGGATCTGCAACATGGGAGCTTGTTCCTCCAAACTCATAAGATTGTGGCAGACAAAGGTAAACTTGGGATCTTGCTTTTAAAATACAGATATACTGTAAATCTACACAATAATGGGAATGCACTCAGGGTCTTGCATTCTGGCAACAAACTCAGGGCTTGACGTTACCTGTGAAAGTTGAGGCTTAGGTTAAGACTTAAGGGAAAAGAGCAGATAACATATTTAAACAAATGAGGGGCATTCTGCTAAAACTGAAACCACTTCGATTTTTCAAAATCTAAATCGCTTCTCCTTTTCCCATCCCTAATTAACACTGAACTGTCCATCTGTAGTGGATTTCAACCAAGAATCATAAAACAGATATTAAAGAAACTTCAGAATTCCTGGGAGGTGGAGAAAATACTAACCTTATTTTATAGGTGAGAAAGCTGAGGCCCAGAGGCGCTAAATGACTTATCCAAAGCTACGGAACTGCAAAGTTGAGAACAGAACCCTAAATTTCTATATCCTGATTTGATCAGTAGATAATAACACCGTCTCTTAAGAAATTGTGTGGACCTATTGAGATTGAACATTTTTCATTTCTAACCAGAGTATTTTACACACATGTGGAGCTATTTAGAGCAGTCTGTAGTTGCACATTGCTCTTGACGTTGACTTTATTCAGCTGTGTTCTGTATTTTTCTTCCTCTCCTCTATAGATTATGCTGTCACAGCTAATTCTAAGATTGTGGTAGTAACTGCAGGAGTTCGTCAGCAAGAAGGGGAGAGTCGCCTGAACCTGGTCCAGAGGAATGTGAATGTCTTCAAATTTATTATTCCTCAGATTATGAAGTATAGTCCCAATTGCACCATCCTTGTGGTTTCCAACCCAGGTAAAACAGTGTTTTAATGTACAAAGTAGAATTCATGAGTTTTGTAGAACTGGCCTTTTAATTTGAAGTTCTGCCTACTTACAGTAGGAAGTATGTAGAAATGTGTGTCTTCTGTATAGAGAGTTCTGTGGTGTCCACTACTAGTGGTGAAATGCAAACATGATTTACATTTACTGTGGCCGCCCTGTGTACGCAGGACCTTGAACTGTTTGAAAACCCTGCTAGACATTAATTATGTTTCAGAGCTCTAGGTATATTGGCTTAAAAGCTGCTGATGGTTTAAGCAGCCTGGCGCAGAACCCCATGAGTGTGAAAGAAGGTGCAATTTCAATAATTCATTTTAGGAAACTTGTTTAATTATAGCTTTTATGAGCACCTAAGCATCCAGATGCAAAGATATGGCTATCTGTCTGAATGACAAATCCAGCTTGAGAATGTATTAACATCATTCATTGATCACAAAAACAATACTGAAATGTAAAATTAAAAATTTCCTTGAATATAGTTTCAGGAAAAGTTTGTGCATTGAGGATAAACTTTAGACATCCTGGATTTCGGTTCCGCACACTCCTCAACTTAGCTTTAACTGAGATCAGCTGGGGAAGAAAAGTTAGAATAGAAACATTTAAGTAAATATATACTAGAGAATGCATTAGGATACAAAAGATTTAGTTAAACAAATTGTACATGTTCACACTATATAGCACTGGAGGATCGAGCCTGGCCATTAATACCACATTTATAGACACCAGAAATACCTGAGAGAGAGAAGTGGCAAGCTCTGCCTGCTATTCTGCTCAGGTTCCTTTAGACCCAAGCTGAGCAATACATCACACAAGAATGTGCCATCAGTTAGGAAGCATGGGAGTTAGGGTGTCATAATAGCATTCTTACGTTGTTAGATATTCTCTAGAGCCAGAGGTGCACCATTTCACAAGCACTGATGTTTTTTAAGCTGCTGCCTCAGTAGGTGAAACCCAACTATAACAGCTCTATATAGATGAGTTTCACATTCCTATTTATAAAATTTATTCAAAGATTAAATTGGCTGTCGCTCAGGCCAAAAAAGGGCTAGGAGAGGACAACTGTGTGTTGCCCTTTTTTTACTGTGCCCGATGCTTTCTCCAAACTTGTAGAGCGCCTACTTTCCCCGTCTTCTGTGGTTGGAACTATGGATGGTATATTACAGTGGATCTGGGTGCCTGGTCCACATGGGTTAGGATGTATACCCCTGACATTCTGCCCCCTGTTTTGCGTAGATAATTCCTGACAGGATCAGGAGTAATCTTCATGGTGGCTGTTTGTGCAGCCATGGCCGATCAGGAGATGGGCCGTCATTTGTGCAGCAATAACTTGTACCATGTCTGCACTACGGGCACTTGGGACCTGAGTTTTGCAAGTTATGTAACTCCCAAAACAAATTATTGGCCTTTGAAATCCAGTCATTTGGTTCTAAGGCAGGACTTGTCATTACTATTGCCTGTCTTTCTCGGATACTGTTCTAGTTTCTGTACCTTTCTTCACACCCCTTTAGTTTGTTATGTATTTGGGGTTTTTTGGACCATTCCCAAATAGCTTATTAATTTGAGCTGCCTGAAAATATAGTAGCACCATACAGTCTAGTGCATAGAAGTCACTTAGTGCCATGATGTAAATTAGGCAGTCCTCATCCAAAGACAGTTCTATGCAGAAGTATCCTGTTTTTCATGTACCAAATATATTGCAAATTATACGAAACAAGAAATGTGCCTTTGAAAATTCAGATGTTTTATTATAAATCCATTTACTTCAGGCACATTTAAGTTAGATTCTCAAGTGGAAGGCAAGATCTCCAAACACAACAAACTCCCGGGAATATTTAAGTAGCCTAACTCAGTTCCTGTGTCCACGGGGCCCAATCTCTTTCCAGCCATACCAAGGAGAAACCTCCCCTGGTTTTAGCCTCTAGGACATACCCTCCAGTGAACTCCTTAAAAAATGGCTTTTATAATTGCAGACAGGGCCCCAACATTCCACAAGTGAGATAAGCCGTCCTATCCTCTACTCCGGTTAGGCACGAGATGCTTTATACAAGTGAACCCAGCTGCACACTCTGTTTCTCTGACTCGTAAGAGGCTACCCTGTCACACGCACTAAGGCAGTAATTTAAGTAAATCTGTATATGGCTAAGTTAACCAACTCACTGTCTTTATTCTCTTTTCCAGTGGATATATTGACCTATGTCACATGGAAGCTAAGTGGGCTGCCCAAACACCGTGTGATTGGAAGTGGCTGCAATCTAGATTCAGCTAGATTTCGCCATCTGATGGCTGAAAAACTTGGCATCCACCCCACCAGCTGCCATGGCTGGATCTTAGGAGAACATGGTGATTCTAGCGGTAAGGAACACGTCTGCTGTCTTTTGGATTGAGAGAGACCGATAAATAGCTAATGCCTTGAAAGTGGGGGAAAGTCCTGAAAGAGCTGGTACGTGCTGATACTTGGTCAGCTGTTTTGTGTGTATGTGGGAGAACCAGAGCTAATTTCTCAAATGATTGAACAGTTGTTTTATTTTTTTAAAGTCATACCCACTCCCCTTTTCATATTCTTTTATGGTGGTCTGTGTAAAATTATGGATCACTAACAGCTAATTTTGGCCTTTATAAATATATAAATTAAAAAAAAACTCTGTGTCCCATAACAATGCTTTTCAAAGGAATGTATGGGATTTAGCTACGTATCTGCCATTAAAAATAATGGAAGATATGTAGTTAAATCTTGTTTTGAAAATGCCAACTCTTTCTTCTGTCTGAAGCTGAACCTTAAGAGTTATTGTTCAGTTTGCCTTTGGTCACTCAGTAGTTGCCTGTGTATTACAGCATGTGATTGGAATAACACTCTTTTGAGACTGCAATATTTATTCTTGGCAGGTTAACAGCAGAGTTTCTGTTACTGTAAATCACCAAAAATGCTGAGAAGTTCTGATTTAAGTCAAATACAAACAGTATTTTGGTGTATATTTCTCAATACTATTTAAAGAGAATAATAATAATAAACAGAAGACCCACATCTGGGTTTTATAGACACCAGTGTGCAGTTCCATAACCGAGAGCAGAATTTGGTTGATTGTATGCAAACACTTCGTGATCATACTTACTGCTTCTGTGTATGGCTGCTTCCCCTCCCTATTTATCAGTGTTCCCCGGACCTTAATGGATCAGAGGAATACTTCTCCCTCACCACTGAAGTTTGTGCTATATGAGGGAATTGCCATTCTGGGGCTCACAGGAACCCTCTTCCTTTGTAGATAGATGTGTTGCACTCTCTATGTTCAGGACAAGAGGATGAGTGAGCAGCTTTCATGGAGGCAGACCCCAATGCCTCTGTGTGGATCAGCAAGCACTAATTTCTCTCTATTGTCACTTTGCCAATGCCTCCCAAAACAATATCTAAAATAAATACATTTTTAGAGGTTAGACAGTTGAGTTGGGGCAAATATCCATTTCCTAGGGTTAGTAACTGTCTTCCAGATTTCAACCCAAAATAAATATTAAGAGCAAGTTATTAACCCTTCAAAGGGCAGAGAGCTTTGTAATAAAAATATTGACCAGTATGATGCTAATCATTTTATAGCATTCTCCCCTCTCACCTACCAGAGCTCTTGGAACCCAGTACAGTGAAATAATAACAGATACAATACCATCTTAGCTGCTACTTTGCCTATCAAATAAAAGGCCAAAACATGAACAAAGTGGAGTGGGGAGGAATTGTAATTGTAACAGAAACTTACATGCTCTCTCTGACATGTATTACAGTGGCTGTTTGGAGTGGAGTGAATGTGGCAGGCGTTTCCCTCCAGGAGCTTAACCCGGCCATGGGTACTGACAGAGACAGTGAGAATTGGAAGGAAGTCCACAAACTGGTGGTTGACAGGTACAGTGAATGGGGAATAAAATAAGGTGGAGCGTGATGTAAAAGTGGCTAAAGCACTTTTTTCCACCTTAATCACTTTCAATAGATCTTGACTGCACATTCGTTTGGATGTTTGCATTTGCAAATGTAAGACCTGATCTAAACGCAAAGTTACACTGGTTTAAGTAGATTGGTTTGACATCACACCTTCAGTTAAACCAGGGCAACATCTGTATGTAGATGATCCCCAACTCTTACAGGGCCACATCCAGCATGTGCTTTCTCATACGAACAGTCCTTACTCACTGGATTAGCCTCATTGACGTAAATGGGACAGCGAACTATATGAGTAAGGACTAATGCAGGATTTACAGGATCAGTGTGTCTGTTTATCAGGAGACAGGATGGTCGTGTGGGAAGAGTAGAAGAATTGGAGTCAGAAAATTTGGATTCTGTGTCTGGCTCTCTCTTTGACTTCCTGTATAAAGTTGGGCAAGTCACTTGCCCCATTTGTAAAATGAGGAAAGTGCTTTTGTAAAGTATCCAGAAATGCCAAGGTTAAAAGTATTAAATATTGGTGTGTTTGATATGTGCATAGTCAGTGTGTTATGTTGACTTTTTAGGAGTTTTTGTGAGTATGTATATATAAAACGTATTAAATTTATTAGGTTTCAGAGTAGCAGCCGTGTTAGTCTGTATCCGCAAAAAGAACAGGAGTACTTGTGGCATCTTAGAGACTAACAAATTTATTAGAGCATAAGCTTTCGTGGGCTACAGCCCACTTCTTCGGATGCAAGTGG